CAGTCCTGAAGAAACACCTGAAGATTCAGATAAAGGAGAAGATTCCTTCGTAATGTAAGAAAGTCCTTTACTACAGATGCTGAACTGAAAGCAGAAAACTCACACTGGAAAAGTGTTCAAACTGCAACATGAGATTCAATCTGTCAGAAACCCTGAATACACATGAAAAGATTCACACTGGAGAGAAACCACATCAGAGTTTAATCAGTTATCTAGTCTACAGTCACAATCACGGGGACTAGATCATCTTCAGATCCAGCAGTGCGACAGCAAACATAACACAAGAAAGCCAGTGGGCCAGCTGAAGCAAGCCTAACCAACCAACTCTTTCACAGCTTTGAACAGCTAAAAGGACTAATGAACAAATATCATTCGGAAGCATAACTCCCTATGATGAATGTAACCAACACATTTGACTGTCATGTTCTAATCACTGATTGTGTATGTCATTTTTAATAACTATTAAATAGTTTATGGGTTTATATTCATGTTTGGCATGTTTGTGTTTGAGAATTGAATGATGATATCAGTCAATTCTTAGTAAAGTGTATCATATTCTTATTATAGAAGTCATGTGTAACTTACACTCTGCAAGAGTGGGAAAATTTGGACCATGTGACTAATAACACGTTTATGTGTGTATTGGAAGGAGAAACATAGCAACACCCCGAGCTAAGACAATGTATAATTGGTCAAGACACCATTTGAGATGTGTCCAACAGCCGAGTTTAAAAACTCAGGACACCAACAAATTTAGCCTTTTGGGCTTTTGCCACCACTTTCAAATTCAATAATAATTATGAATTTTTCCACTTATGTGTTAAAATGTATGGTGTTTTGTGTAAAATGAGACCATTTTTGATCCATTTAGCCAGATGTATGTGAGCAAGGGACTCTTTTAAATTCAGGTTTGCCAAAATCAGTAAGAAAATCCAAAAAATGCTGCAGAGCTGAAGAGGTTACGATCACAGGTAAGAATTACACACTAACATATCTGACGCGAGACACTTCAACAGTTTCGCCCAGTGTTGTCATGATTAGAATTGTTATTTTTCTTCTCCAGAGGAAGACAACAAAGAGATAGTGATAATGTCTGTCAACTTGACTGGAATCTTTCAATCTGTTGAATTGGATCTGTTTTTGAATGTCTACTTTGTTTTGCCTCCAGCTAGAGCTGTGACGTAATCGTGATGTCAGCCCTAAAAGGGTCTATGGATTTATGCATAGTGGTCACGAGGCAGCACTTAACCGTATGTTGCTTAAATGACTCTTCAGTTCGTCCAGACAAAGGAGTTCTCTTTTCCCTTGATTGGATTAGCTCTTATCATGTTGAGAGGAAACTAATCCAGACAATGAGGGTGTTGTCAGTTTTACGATCTCGTGATGGCTGTGTGGGGGAATCTTTAGATCCTGTTTTGGGAATGTGTTTATTCTGAAGCTTTTTGGTGGATCTGTTCCACAGAGACCTTACACAATGAAAAACAGGATTAAAAATATAACTCAGTCTCTCTTAAAAGTGTTACAGTCTCTTCCTCAGCTTCCTGAACAAGAACAGTTTGTAAAAACCTCTGCTTTCCTTCATGAAAGAGCAAGTGATACATATGCATTATAAAACAATTGAACATAATATGAAACTCACAAAAAAATCACAACAATACCATTTAAATCATGAAGCAAAAATATATAAAAATAAATATTTTGGACATTGTTCTTTGGAGAGGAACTCCATCTTTGAGTTGATCTGAATCTCACAGTTCAATCTGCTGGTTTTGAAGATGAAGATGAACTTTATTCACTGTGAAAACTTTAATGTTTCTTTGTCAAGTCAAGTCAAGTCACCTTTATTTATATAGTGCTTTTAACAATACAGATTGTGTCAAAGCAACTGAACAGCATTAATTAGGAAAATATTGTCAATAATTTTTATTGCTTGATGCATTATTGTGTCGCATTTGGTGAGGATGCAGCATCAGATCTGAAAGTGCTGGATTTGAAGATGATCTACTTACTGTGAATGTTTTTTGTATGACTGTGTAGAGAAGATGAATTATTGAAACACTTCCCACATGCAGTGCAGTGATACGGTTTCTCTCCAGCGTGGATCCTCTCGTGTGTTTTCAGAGTTGATGATTGACTGAATCTCTTGCCACAGTGTGAACACTTGTAAGGTTTCTCTCCAGTGTGAATCCTCTTGTGCAGTTTTAAACGGCTCGCTGAAGTAAAAGTCTTTTCACACTCAAAGCACATGTACTCTCTCACAGCAGCATATATTTTCTGATGTTCTTTCAAATAGTTTGCTGAAGTAAAAGTCTTTTCACATTTAAAGCACATGTACTCTCTCACATCAGCATGTATTTTCTGATGTAATTTTAAATATTGTAAACACGAAAAACTCTTTCCACACAAATAACATGAATGTGGCTTCTCCTTTGTATGAACTTTCAAGTGTTTCTTCAGGGTTGAAGCCCTCAAAAACGTTTTGCCGCATTGATCACATGTGTACGGTTTCTCTCTAGTTTGGATCTTCATGTGTTTCTTAAGGTTTGATGATTGTGAGAAACTCTTTCCGCACTGATCACAAGTGAATGGTTTCTCTCCAGTATGAACTCTCATGTGACGCTCAAGAGTAAGTTTGCATGTGAAACTCTTTCCACACTGAGTGCAGAAGAAATATTTATTGGCTCTTCTTTTCTTTAAATCGTTCTGTTTGGGTTTTTCTCCACTTTTAACATGATTTTTCTCCTCAAATTCACTCAATTCTTCTTTCTCCTCATTATCTTTAATCAACTCTGAAACAAAAGTAAAAACAGTAAATTTTCATTAACTCGTTAAAAAAAAAGCAGAAAAGTGAAAGGACATGAAAATGAACCCTGATATATCAGCAGAAAGTAGACAATTGCATTACCAAATTTTGATAATTGTAATGTAATTTTATAAATTATACTTCCCTGAAACTTTCCATGGATGAGGTACATTGATCTACAAATTATTATTTTAAAAATATAATAGGCACAAATCTCGTGTTTTATAGGGAGAACTATTTAATGTTTGTTCAACAACATGAAGGATCTGAGGATCCTCAAATACAACCTGTGTGTTGCATCAAGAGAGCATTTGTGTTGCTTTTATTCATTCATAATAATTTATTTGTTTACTCGTTTATAATCATTAGCCATTTATGTAATTTGTTGTTAGATTTTTTTAATCAAACAATACATTATTATTTACCATTTAAATCATTTTATTATTTGATAATTTATTCATTCATTTTTTTATATTTTTCTTATTATTTTCCTTGCTTATGTATTTTCATTGTTTAATCTGATGATTGTAAGGGTTCATTAACTGTTTTGTTTGTATGAATAAGAGATAAGAGGGAATGTTAATGGAAACTCAAGGTGTATGGGATGTTGTTGTGTTTGGTAAAAAACTACTTGTTGGATTTGTGTTCGTCAGATAAAGTCTGAGTATTGAAACATATGCAACTAAGATTATTCAATAAACTTGTTTGCTCCTTTTTATCATCACTTCGTCTCCTGCTTCTGCTCTTCTCTGGCTTTGCTCAGTCATCTTCTTGGTTGACAGTGTTAATATAGTTTAGACTTGATGTTAATGGGCTTTGGGTATCGACAACCCTGCTGACTATTTGTTCAGACTCCAGACAAAACAGATATTTTCTGACAGGATCTGGCATCCGGGACTGGATCGTAACTATCTGCCGTGGAGACTCGATCTAACATAAATTTAGTTGAAAAAAAAAGTACTTAGTTCATAGGAAGTGTCCCTAATTATTTGATGCTTCAGCAAAATTATTCAACAGCTCTAAAGATTTTTCTTGTTACAGCAAACCGAAATATAAATCTGCCTGAAGCTTTATAATCGTCAGCATTATGAATGAAGAATAGACACCAACCTGTTAGTTCTTCAGTATCTTCAGTGTGTTTGATTCTGCAGGGTTCTGGATCTCTCATCTTCTCTCTGTCCTCATTAATAGTCTTTGCAGATTTCAGCTCTTCCTGATGATTAGATGCTCGTCTTCACTTGTGAACTGATGGAGATATTCCAGCATTTATTGATGAATCACTGTGGGCGGAGCTTCACTGATGATGTGTTTGCAGTGGGCGGAGCTGATCTGCCAAAATAAAAAATATATCAGATGTCAAATGTTAGTGTCTGCAACAAATTAAATTTACAAAAGTGATTTTATATACATAGAAAATCAATTAAATGCAAGTGTCTATATGTTTCAAATAATTTTTGTGAAAACAAAATGTCAAAATATAGGTGAAATAATGTTCCATCATCATTCAGCGTAACAGATATATTTATGTAAAAATGAAACAATATAGTTATTCTGACCTGTACTTATTCAAAAAAATGTAAAAGAAAAGTGACTATATTCTATTACATTTCAAAATGTATTGCTAACAATTGGGTAAAACCTAGTAATGTGAAGGATAGTGGCAAAATATAAAGATTTAAAATATCAATTAATGAATTTTTTGGGTTACACTATATATAATCCTAAATATATTATATTAATATTTCATCAAATGATTTTTGTTCTAAATATGCCTGATATTTATTTTTTATTTATTTATTGCTATATAAACACCTTTTTGTCTTTGACTCATATACTAATTGACACATTTAAGCATCCATATCTATCTATTGTAAACAACTGATGCAAATTACCACATTTTTATTTCTAATTCTAACATTAATCTGTTTATTCATAAAATTACTGTAGATATATTGAAATAGAAAAAAAACATTTGAAAGTATAGTCAGTGAAAAACGCACATTTGTAAAAAACAACCCTCAGTCTGTTGACACCAATGAAGTGAGCTTTAAGTGTCAATTTACAGGAGATCTGAAGACATCAGCATAATAAATGAGGAGAAAACAGTAACTATTGACATGAAATAAAGAGTCTTTTCAGCAGCTCTGTTAATATTGATGAGCCTCAGACGATCAACACTCATTCAACAAGACATTCAGGATCATCAGCAGATCATCTCACTTTATTCTCAGTGTTTGCTGATAGAAACAGATTGAACCACATTTTTATTTCTAATTCTAACATTATTCTGTTTATTCATAAAATTACTGTAGATATATAGAAATAGAAAAAAAACATTTGAAAGTATAGTCAGTGAAAAACGCACATTTGTAAAAAACAACCCTTAGTCTGTTGACACCAATGAAGTGAGCTTTAAGTGTCAATTTACAGGAGATCTGAAGACATCAGCATAATAAATGAGGAGAAAACAGTAACTATTGACATGAAATAAAGAGTCTTTTCAGCAGCTCTGTTAATATTGATGAGCCTCAGACGATCAACACTCATTCAACAAGACATTCAGGATCATCAGCAGATCAGCTCACTTTATTCACTTTAGTGTTTGCTGATAGAAACACATTATTTGAGTCGGGATATGTGATAAAAGCCAATTAAACTGCTCCACATTAAGACAATGCTGTTATTTCTCACAATCTGACATGTATAAAACATCAATAATAACACAACAACACATAACAAGCAGGTATTAATTATATTTTTATAACCTGTCTTTTTTCATTAATTGCCTTTTTAGCTGCAATATTGTACAAATAATCTTCTAAGGGTGTATTAACACGGGCACACATTGAACACCTGTAGAAACCTGTTTTTGCATCAACTTTCAAGACTTTGTTTACTTCCAGAAAGCACTATGTCACTTTACTTTGGTTAATTCAATGTTCAATTTTTTTTTATACCTGGCATATATATATATATATATATATATCATTGTTTTCCTTCTATGCACATGCACTTGTTTTTTTTTTCTTTCTGTATACCCTTTTATAATTTGTTTTCCATAACTGCTGTATATGTTTGTACAAAAATATGCACATAATTGCATTAAAAAAGGCGGTTCAGTGTCTTTCATTACAAAAGTCTTTACTGCTGACTCACTCTGGAAAAAGTCTCTATAATTAAACTAAAATCACCATCATGAACACACACACACCATTTCTCAATACTAAATACTACTGTTATTTATATAAAATATTATTTATTGAATAATAATATTTAATAAAAAAACAAACCAGAACCAGGAAAACCCATCTGATGCTTCAGCCAGATCCCATCCGTCATCACAGACTGAACCCCACTCTCCATCATGATAGACCTCCACAAGACCAGATGAAGCCAGATCTCCCACAAGTCTCACACTGATCTCCTGTGTCGACTGCTTCAGTCTGTCTTCTTCAGCCGGTGACAGAAGATTCAGAGATTGAGAGATTTCACTGAAAACTGCTCAATGTTTTAAAGCAGACAATAAAACGTGTTTAACCTCAGCTAACTGTGCAACTGTTGCTGCAACAGACGTATGTTCAGACGTATAATTCCAGTTGATCACTGAATAGATCACATTTAATATTTAAGATGCATGTTTATGAATATATTTATTGTGACATTGTATTAATTTCTATAAAACTCATGAAAATCCTTCCAATTCAAATACTGCAAACAATGGATTTTACATTTAAAAAGTAAAGGTTTATAATCAAACAGGCTCCAGTGCTGTGCTGAAACTCTTTTCAAGGGCAAATGTGTCAACTGTTAGATGAAAAGCATTAGGATGAACACAGCAAACTCTATGTGCTATTGTGCACATACAGAGGAAACATGTTACTTTATATTAGAACATTAATGTATAACAAGGCCAGCAATACACTAGGAGCCTGATGGGAGGGGGATTTAGGATCAAGTTTATCTGAAAGTGAAAGTGACGTGGAGTTGATGAATGAATTTCTCATGTACAAACTGATCAGGTTGTGGGTCCAATTGGAGGACACATGAAAATGTTTGTTTACTCTTCTTCAAACCCACACTACAAAAGAATAATGTAAAATACCTGTAAACCTTGATATTATTATTTGTGACAATAAAATACAATATATAAAATAAACATTTTTCTAATTTAACATTTTCAAGAGATTATTGTTTATTTCATTGACAATATTATTAAACATGGGCCTTTACTTTCATTAAAAAGGCTTATTTCTGCTATTGCAGGCTCATTTTTGTAAATGTAAGCTATTAATTTAAATTATAGACAAGCGCAAACTGGGCGCTTAAAGCAAATGAAATTGGCCACATTTACAAAATCAGGAGATTATGTTCGCCCATCTGTACAAATGTCTCTTTAGAGACAAAAGAATAATGTTAATCACTGT